CGTTTTAAGTTCGTAAACAGGGAGTGCCGAGAAATGGTTTTGTTTGTTTTAGCACAAATGTACACAATAGGCTATATACTCTCTGTTCACCATGGGGATGCGAGCCCCAACTTTTAGCGTTTTAAGTTCGTAAACAGGGAGTGCCGAGAAATGGTTTTGTTTGTTTTAGTACAAATGTACACAATAGGCTATATACTCTCTGTTCACCATGGGGATTCGAGCCCCAACTTTTAGCGTTTTAAGTTCGTAAACAGGGAGTGCCGAGAAATGGTTTTGTTTGTTTTAGTACAAATGTACACAATAGGCTATATACTCTCTGTTCACCATGAGGATTCGAGCCCAGATCTTAGCGTTGCAAATCCGTAACCTTGTTCAGTGAAATGTCTTCTATAAAGTATACCAAGTTTCAACGAATTATTTTTATTTCAGACATTTCAAAACCATTGCAATTTTTAAGGAAATCTCTTAAAGAGTTGAAATCATATTTTTACAAATATAAAACAGATAATAAGGAAATAAGCTTAAGTAAGAACAAGAAGCTCTTATTTAAACAACTTCGATTATTTTTAGAATTGTATGTTTTCCCAACATTATATTTTCTGTTAATCTCTGATGAGCCATTTTTCTCACAGACTGCTTAACTACCTGACTGTTATACTTTTCCAAAATAACTAATAACATACATTTCCCTGTAATATTATATTTGGTTTACTTTATTGTTTGGTTGCTTATTTTTGTACAAGGCCATACAATAGGCTATATGAACTCTGTTCACTGCAAGGAATCGAACCCCCAACTTTAGGGTCTGAATTCTGTAAACTTTACTCTTATCCACCAAGGAGGATTTTGTTTGTAATTAAGCACAAAGTTACACAATGCGTCATCTGTCCTCTGCCCACCACGGGTATCGAAACCCGATTTACAGCGTTCTAAGTCCACCGGAGGCGACGGAGACTATGTTTTCAACCCTCTGTGTGTGTGTGTGTTTTCGTTAGTGTGTTTGTCAGCAAGATTTCTCGAAAACGGCTGAATGGATTTGGACGAAAGTTGTTATACATTTGGACTATGACCCTCCTTAGAAATGATTAATTTTAGGAGGGTCCAAGTCACAGCAAAGGTCACGAAATTAACAAAATTCCCTATCTATTAACATGAAGACCGATTTTTCATACAATTTTTGCTCTTTAACTCAGTCTAAAATGATCGAATTTCGATGAAACTTGGTGGACGTATGTAGAATATTATTCCTCATTATCCTGTCAAAAATGGTTTGTGTGTCGGACGAACATACGGATTTTTTAGGGCAGAATATGATCAACCCTGCGTGGTGGATGTATGCGCTCTACAGAGTGCCCCCTAGTTTTTAAATGTAAAGACTCGGTTATATAAACTGAACGAGCTATATATATATGTCTTAAGTTAGGCCTTTTTACGGCATTTTAGACGCGTCTGTGTTTTCCATATAATAATGAAAAATTGATAACGTAGGTTACAGTGCTTTTTGCTGTTTCTAATATTTTTCTAACAATGTCCATATTTTTTCCTGCATGACAAATAAATCGTTTAACCTAATATTTAGCACTAGATAATAATAATAATAATACTAATAATAAAAAGGGGGAAAGGTCTCATAGATTAATTTACTCTAATTCTGGCTAAAATAATTTCAAGTGTCGCAGCTATTGAGGATTCCCTCCTGTTATCCCTGAAAAAAGTAAGACTTCCGAAAGTGCTCAGATTATCGGATTTCTTTTGTTTATTTTAGTTTAATGTTAACTTTGTGAACAAGCCCCAGTCTTTGAATTTATAATAAATGCCTATTTATCGTGTTTTGTTTTGTTTTTTTTTTGTTGTTGTTTTTTCAGAAAGGATCTGGTAGATACTGTTAACGGACAAAGAACATCTAGTATAACTGGTAAGATAATAACTTGAGGAAAAATTAACATTAGCTACGGAAAAAGTCCACTAGTGACTACAAATCAGTCCTTACTTTCATGTAAATAAATGACCTTTGAAATAAAAATAATATCTTTCATCTCCTGCGTGAAGAGTGAAAGCAACTTGAACCTCATAATAACACATGATTCTTAAATTTAAAATTTTAAAAATCTTAGTGTAATATACAGTCTTTCATAAAACTTTATTAATTCCATTAAGTTTACTTAATTAGTAAATAGTTTTTCAACGTGGTTTGTAAGAAGCCTAATTGCTGGGTTTAATTTTTCGCTCTTGTTAGTTTTATATAGCTGCCTTGGATAGGATTCGTCTTCTTTATGGTGTATTAAGTTGAAATAAAAAAAAAAAACACGTAAAAATATTATCTAAAGTTAATATTTTCAAATGGAAAAGCTGATCGACAGTGTTTTCATTTAGGGTTAACATGGATTGGAGGTGCTTGCAACGAATTGTATAGATACGCAATAGCAGAAGATACCCCTGGGTTGTTTGATGGAGTCGACACACATGTTCATGAAATAGCACATTTGTAAGTTCAAATGAATACTCCAGAAAACCTATCTCGTGTTTTCTGTTGAATATTTAAATATTTATCTGTTAAGATTTTGAGATATTTCAATTTCGAGACATGCATGCCATTTTCATTCTTTTCTCATTTTCAAATTAGTGTGTTCTTAACACACTAAAATATAAACCACTCAGTCTCTTTAGCACAGATACACTACTGTGACCAAGAGTTACTCAATCTTCCCATTTTTCCGTTCGCTTCCTGAATTTAATAAATCTTTTTGATATACATGAGTGTGGCGACTTTATTTGGTGTTATTATGATGACGTTGGCATGGCCAGGTGGTTAAGGCACTCGACTCGCAATCTGCGGGTCGTGGGTTCGAATCTCCATCACACCAAACATGCTCGCCCTTTCAGCCGTTGGGGTGTTATAATGTGACAGTCAATCCCACTATTCGTTGGTAAAAGAGTAGCCCAAGAGTTGGCGGTGGGTGGTGATGACTATCTGCCTTCCCTCTTGTCTTACACTGCTAAATTAGAGACGGCTAGCGCAGATAGCCCTCGTGTAGCTTTGCGCTAAATCCAAAACTTACACAATTACATTTAATTCCTTGCATTCACTGTGATTCTCGCAGAACTTATAACCACTTCCATTTCATCAGTGTTCTCCTTTAGATATTTTAAGTCTAATATTTCTCTTGTAAAACATTCTTGAATATATGTTGTTGTTGTTTTTTTTTTTTGCTTCACTAGGCTAGGAGCTATCCACGACGGAGACGGACCTCCAGTTCATATGCCAAATAGTCCAGGCGCCAAAATGTGTCCCCAGAATGAAGGATATGTCATGAGCTATGTAGATGGCGGGCTTAACAAGTTTAGATTTTCTCCCTGTTCTCAAGATCAATTCAAATATTTTCTGGGGTAAGGCAGTTTTTTTTGTTTTGTTTTCATATCGCAGTTATGAATAAACGCTCTATTATAAAAAGTAATGCAAAAAATGTATAGCAGATACCAAATCCCGGTTCCTTTCTACCTTGTTGTTTGTTCTAAATGAAGTATAGGAATTTGTTATGATGTGGGAGATAGTCATTGCAGAAAATTAGATATGCATGTTTTCAAATAACTTTATTATTTGATTGGATACGTTATCGTCTAGAAGTGGACACACGTAACAAAAATTAACATATTTTGGAACTCAGTATTTTCCATGATTTACTTTTCTGTTGCTTGTCTGTTTACTTGAAAGCCGTGTTTTTTGTTGTTGTTGTATGTTTGTTTGTTGGTTTTTGGAGGGGGGTTCAGAAAAAGAAACTTTAATTCGAAATTATTTCCTCAATCCGATCAAACGTTTACAAACAAAACATGAAAACGAAAATTTGCCTGATATTTCAATGTGATTATGATATTTGTATGAAATGTTCATAATACAAATTAAATGGTTATTATTCATACAAACTTTCAGCTTTCACTCACTGTAAAGTTACTTACCGTGTCTAGATTGGAAGAAAGTGCCTGTCTGAGAAGCGAAACCAAACCATCACAGATTCCTCCATCCCAGATCCTTCCTGGTCAGGTCATACCAAATGAAAGGAGATGTCAGCTTCTACATCCAGACATCAAAGAGGTTTCTGTGTATAAGGTAAGATATATAGTAAAAGAACAACAAAAAAAAACAACTTCGGCATACATATAAACTTAGTGTGCCTTTTTCGTTCAATTTTATAACAGGGACGAATAATGAGAATTTTTTTTCTAGGTAATATCGATCAATCTCTGCGTTTAAGCAGTATATTTACATTATAATGATTGAGACGTGTATATGCAAAGCTGGAAAAGTAGATATGAGCATAATGAAATTATTTTTTTGGCTTTTACTGACGAAACTGTTTTCATGTGAGTGAAATATATATATATATTGTATTGTATATGTTTGCTTTAGTTCAAAGTAGCTGTGAACTATAAATTACAACAAAGACAAATCTTCGTAAAAATTACAAGAGAGTTTCATTTTGAATTTTTATTAAATAGAACCCTTACGGTCAAGAATGTAAGCTTTACTGTCAACAACCAGAAGAGATGGACGGTTTCAAGTACTACGTTCATGCTGGCCTGGATGGAACGCCATGTGGAAACAATATGGTTCGTTTTATCGATTTAGTACTGGCCCAGTGATGGTTATAGTATCGAAAATATTTACTTGAGTATAAATACTGTTACTTTAGAAAATATTCACTCAAGTAAAATAACTAAAAGTACCTGTTGTTGATGGCTACTTAAGTAAAAAATAAAAAGTACCAAATATATACAGAACTTAAGTAACAATAAAGTAAAAAGTACAGACGAAAAACAAGTAATGAAAACATTATTAAAACTAGCCTACATTCAATTTAAATTTACACGTAAAAGGCACTAACAAATATAAACTCAAAAAACTTTATTGTATTTTAACAAACAATCAGTACAACACCCCACTGATTTTTAAAGTTCCTACCAGACAGATTAGCTCATCTCAGTGTGAACAAGAGTGACATCTCAGTGTGAACAAGAGTGACATCTCAGTGTGAACAAGAGTGCTCATCTCAGTGTGAACAAGAGTGCTCATCTCAGTGGGAACAAGTGTGACATCTCAGTGTGAACAAGAGTGCTCATCTCAGTGTGAACAAGAGTCCTGCAGAGCTAAACAAATGCTGGAACTTCATTGGATTTCCCATGATCGCTTTCAGTGAAAATAATTATTTCAAATAAAGGCCATGGATGATTATTTGTTTCATACTTGATGGTCACAGTGGGA